GTTCTAGCATGTGTATAATAGCATCATTAGTATTTTTATTAGGCCTGAATCCAAATGGCAGGGGTTGAGAATGTTTTGGGAGATGAGGTAGGAGTAGATTCGTTTATGAATTAATTTTTCGAAGATTTTTGAGAGAGGATTTTAAATTGGATATTGGCCTATAGTTATTCAACTCAGTTTGGTCTCCTCCTTTATGGATCAGGGTGCCCCTTGCTATTTTGAGAGCTGTAGGGAAGGTGGAGGATTCAATGGATTTGTTAAAGAGTGTTGCAATGATTGGTGATAGTACTTGTGACACTTTTTTGTATATAAAGGGTGGTAAGGTATTTAAATCTCCTGCCTTGTTTTTTTTGTGCGTTGATAATAAAGGGGGACTTCGTATGGGTTTAGTCGGAGCTAGGAACAGTGTGTTCGGGTAGTTGCCAGTGAGGTAGTCATTGGTGGGGTATCTGAGCTTGGGATTTTTATTTGGGAAGGTTTTGTCCTATAGTGGGAGAAGAAATCATTGGGGTCTGTTTGCTGTTTCTGTTGGTGGGATTTTTGGGGTTCATCTGATTTTTGCTAATTTTATTTTGCTATTTCGTATATCTTTTTTGTTCCCCGAATTTGTGATAGGGTCTTCCAGGTCTTTTTCATATCACCTCGTAAGTTGGATAATCTGTTCTCATAATACAATTTTTTTGCCCTTCTTATCAGGCTGGTTAGGATTGACGAGTAACGTTTTGTTTGGTCTCTGGTTATGTGACCCATTCTGTACTGTTTTTCATATCGGTGTTTTGTATTTATGGATTTGAGAATGCTGGGTGTTAGCCAGGGACTGTTCAGTCTCTTAGCTGTCATTTGTTTAGTTTTTTTAGGGCAGTGCTTGTTATAGAGGTATTGGGTCTTTTTTAGAAAATTATTAAAACATTCGTCAATATCTGTATAGATTTCTAGCTCAGTGTGCCAGTCAATGTTTGTTACTGCTGTTGTGAAGTACACAGGAAGATACTAGCGATAATCCAGAAATAATAATTTATGTAGAACAGGACGATAAACTATGGATGATTAGGGTCACAAGTGACATGGTCCTTAGGCAAACAGATAAATTAAAACCTAACAAATCCCCAGGCCCTGATGAACTGTATGCAAGGGTTCTAAAGGAATGTAAACAGGAGCTTAACAAACCTTTGGTTAATCTTTTCAACATATCACTACAAACTGGCATGGTGCCAGACAAGTGGAAAATGGCAAGTGTGATACCTATTTTCAAAGCAGGTGACAGGTCCTTAAAATCGAATTATAGACCAATAAGCCTAACCTCCATAGTGGGAAAATCTATGAAATCAATAATTGCCGAGGCAGTTCGTAGCCACCTTGAAAAGCATAAATTAATCAACGAATCTCAGCATGGTTTTACAAAGGGGAGTTCCTGCCTTATGAATTTATTAACTTTTTTCAATAAGGTATTTGAAGAGGTAGATCATGGTAATGAATATGATATTGTGTATATGGACTTCAGTAAGGCTTTTGACAGGGTCCCACATCAGAGACTATTGAGGAAAATTAAGGCAAATGGAATAGAAGAATTTTTTTCCTGGATAGAGGCATGGTTGACAAATAGGCAGCAGAGAGTTTGCATAAATGGGGAGAAATCGGATTGTGGAAGCATCACGAGTGGTGTTCCACAGGAATCAGTGTTGGGCCCCCTGTTGTTCACAATCTACACAAACGACATAGATGAGGGCATAAAGAGCGACATAAGCAAGTTTGCCAATGACATCAAAACAGGCCATCGAATTCATTCTGACGAGGACATTAGAGCACTCCAGGAAGATTTAAATAGACTGATGCAGTGGTCGGAGAAGTGGCAGATGCAGTTTAATATAAACAAATACAAAGTTCTAAATGTTGGACACGAAAATAACCATGCCACATATAAACTAAATAATGTAGATCTTAATATTACGGATTGCAAAAAATATTTAGGAGCTCTGGTTAGCAGTAATCTGAAACCAAGACAACAGTGCATAAGTGTTCACAATAAAGCTAGCAGAATTCTTGGCTTCATATCAAGAAGCATAAATAATAGGAGTCCTCAGGTTGTTCTTCAACTCTATATATCCTTGGTTAGGCCTCATTTAGATTATGCTGCACAGTTTTGGTCACCGTATTACAGAATGGATATAAATGCTCTGGAAAATGTACAAAGGAGGATGACAAAGTTGATCCCATGTATCAGAAACCTTCCCTATGAGGATAGACTAAGGGCCCTGAATCTGTACTCTCTAGAAAGGCATAGAATTAGGGGGGATATGACTGAGGTGTATAAATGGGAGGGAGGGATAAATATAGGGGATGTAAATAGCGTGCTGAAAATATCTAGCCTAGACAGTACTCGCAGCAATGGTTTTAAGTTGAAAAAATTCAGATTCAAGAAGGATATAGGAAAGCACTGGTTTGGTAATAGAGTTGTGGATGAGTGGAACAAACTCCCAAGTACAGTTATAGAGGCTAAAACGTTGTGTAGTTTTAAAAATATGTTAGATAAATACATGAGTGGGTGTGAGTTGGACCTGACTAGCTTGTGCTGCTGGGTCTGGTGCCGTGTTCCTTCCTTGAGTGAATGTGACCTGACCTGACTAGGTTGGGCATTGGCTTAAGCCGATAGGAGACTTGGACCTGCCTCGCATGGGCCAGTAGGCCTGCTGCAGTGTTCCTTCTTTCTTATGTTCTTAAGTAAACAAGGAGAGTGACCAAGTAAACAAGCTGTCAGTACTATGACTAGGTAACCAAGCAGGCAGCAGTCTAGCTCAGTTAAACGAGCAGTATGACTAACTGATCATGTAAACAATCAGTGGCCAGGTAAACTAGCAGTTCTGAAGTAAACAGGACTATTGACCCTATGCTAAACCTACAAGGGTCATACAGCGCAGCAGGGCAGGGAAGGGTTCAGGGGTATTGGGTAGCAAGAGCGAGAGGGATTATTATTAGGTCATGCAGTTGATAAATTAGACACATGTGCAACTCTTGGGTATCTTTATTGAGAAAACGTTTCGCCACACAGTGGCTTCATCAGTCCATACAAAGGAGAATCTCGAAGAACAGGAGGAGAATGAGGTAATCAGTCCCTCAACCTTGAGTTGATGTGGTCAGTCCATCAATCTTGAATAGAATACTGCATACGTCTGGAGAATGGTTCTCTGAACCATTCATCTACAAGGTCATGCAGTGCAGCAGGGTAGGGACCCTAAGCAATGGTTTAAAATATATTGAATATATGCTGTAGTCATGTCTTACTGTGATGTAAATGGTTTGACAAACCAATAAGTTGAAGAATAAGACACTTGTGCAGCAATTGGGAATCTCTAGTGAGGAAAAGTTTTACCAGGAAGTGGCTTCTTCAGTCCAATACAGAGAACGAGATTATTATTATTATTATTATTATTATTATTATTATTATAAAGGGGAAGCGCTAAACCCGGAGGATTATACAGCACCTGGGGGGGATGTGGAAGGCATTCAGGCTTAATTCGGGGAACTGGAGCACAGATCCAATTCCCTAAATCAAGAGCCCCTCACCAACATCAAGGAACCTTCCTTGAGGGGACAGAGAACGAGAATGATGAGGAGTTTGAGGGAATCAGTCCCTCAGCCAAAAGTCGACGTGTTCAGTCTATGTCTTTTTTTAAGATTGATTCTTAGTGTTGTATAGCCCCTACGATTTTTGTGCTTTCCATTGCATATAATAATCTATGTTATACCATACTATTGTTTTATGTCTTACAAAAAATATATGCTATTTCAGAGCTACTGTAGAAATTTATACTGCCTAAAATATTTGCAGATTTTCCTGAATAAAGCTTATTACATATGTATTAAAAAAAATAGTAAGCAATCTTTTATTCAAGTTAACACCTGCCCATCATGGACCAGTAGACCTATTGTAGTGTTCTTCATTCTCATGTGTTCTTAACTCCCAGCTAGAGTTAAGACGCATTTACAAACATCTATTTCTGAACGATCAATGCATCAAAAATAGTGACCATCTTAGATTACGTTACTTTTAATTTAAGGTTCAGCAGTGACAACCAGCACATGAATACGCATAATATGCCATTATTATTGTATTCAAATTAGGAGCGCTAAAAACGTAAAAGTAATACAGCGTCTGGAAAATGGAAGGCAATAGGATTCGATCCGAGGGAGGGTTAGCTCCATTTCCTTGGACCATGAGCTCTTCACAGGTACCAAGCGGCTGTGAATGGATAAAACAGCATACGACTTCATGATTCAAATTTGTATTTCTTTTTATGTTGTACGAGGATAATGTAGTTTACATGTAATACAACATTGTTAGGTACACAAGACAGCCACTAACATGGAAATGATTGTGGGACAATGGCGATGTTTCCCTGGAGTGGTAATTAAGCTCCCTTGAGCAAGACATTGATAATGAAGGTTTATACTGTTTTACAAACACATTCCGGCGACGTTGAAAACAAAAATACGTTTATGTAGCCTTGGGCTATATAACAAACGTATGACCCTTAAGGATTTAGCGCTTCAAATTCAAATATATATATTACATATTTTTTTCATTTCTTTGCAAGATTTACAATGTGATTTACATATTATAAAGTATCGTTAAGCACAAAGAACGTCAATTAGCATTCCTCGGTTATGGTTTATAATAATAATATATAACCTCGGAGGACGGGCTGCACACTAGTTACGTAATTAAAGTTGTAATAAAGAAATACAAGACACCAAGTGTTACGAGTCACTGATACTTGTAATTAACCGCGCACCCTAACCCCCCCCCAAAAAAAAAAAAAAAAAAATAGGTGGGTTGTACTACGTTATATCTACGTAATGTAGGTTTTATGCCTTCAACATGTGTGGCCTCGGGTCTGTTATAATCATTACGTGTTATGTACACAAAGTAAATATAAACTTAAGAATTACTCATTTAACTTATGTTTAGCAGGTTTGTTGTGAGCATAATGTTCGTAAGATACCTGTGATGATTGTCTCAGAGAAGCAGTGTTGTCCTGGAGACACTAGAATGATGTGTATCAGCAGGGTGATGTGATGGAGAATGATGGTGGCAGAGCAGAGTCTGAGGCTGTCTGACTCAGTGTTGGAAGAGCAGGCAACCAGTCAGGGGATGCAACACACTGCTTGATGCAACAACTTGGTCGCTCCTTTAGTTAGAAAAGAAAAAAAAATGTAGTATTTTAACACATTATGGCAGTAAGTATATCCGCTGAGAGCAAGACACCTTGACGGAAGACACTACTTAATAAGAGTAATATGTACATACCTGCTGTCTTGTATGAAAAAAAAAACATTGCGAGTAGTGATCCCAGGAGGCCAACACCATGGTGGACGTGTTTGGTACGGGTATGGTGAACACAATGAAGTAATAACATTTTATGAAATAACTAACGTGGTCCGTGCAAGTACCAGCCTCCCTACCACCACACCAGCGAGGTACATCTTTGTTTCTTAGCTTTATAATACACCCTTAACCCCCCCCCCACCTTCAAGGGTGGTTAATGCCTTAATGCTTACGAAGGACTCTTGATCCATGGGACTGGCTCTACCCTCCCCGTCACTGGACCTAACCTGATTTTCTGTTCTACAGGGGCTGTATGACTCATACGGATTTGGCACTTTCCGATGTAAGGAACTGGATATGTGCTCCAATTCCCTGAATAAAGACTGAATGCATTCCATCATCCCCCCATCCCACAGGCTATGTATTATCCACCCCCCTCCTCAGGCGCTGTATAATCCCTACAGGTTTAGCGCACAGTAAGTTACTACAATAATGGTATGACTGCAATAATAATAGATTTAGTTATAATACTAACATGTTGTCTTTAATGTGTTGTTGTATACATATGCCTTATTAGTCTTATTTCAGCAAAAATAGGCTACATTGCAACGAGATCACCCCTCAAGGGAGGTTCCTTGACGCTGGTGAGGGGCTCTTGATCTGGGGAATTGGATCTGTGCTCCAATTCCTGAATTAAGCTTGAATACCTTCCATCCCGTCCCCCCACAGGCGTTGTATAATCCCTACGGATTTAGTGCTCCCCCATGATTATAATAATAATGCAACGAGATCAACTAAGATATATTGCAGAACTATTTATAATAGTTTGAAGCACAATCAAAATAAACTGCATCAGGAAGACGATGTTACATTAATGGTTGCAATAAACAAATACATAAAATTAACAATAGTAGCAACAAAAACTTGCGGTTGAGATGAAACAACAGCAGCAGAAACTGACACTACTGAGATGAAACAGCAGCAGCAGAAACTGACACTACTGAGATGAAACAGCAGCAGCAGAAACTGACACTACTGAGATGAAACAGCAGCAGCAGAAACTGACACTACTGAGATGAAACAGCAGCAGAAACTGACACTACTGAGATGAAACAACAGCAGCAGAAACTGACACTACTGAGATGAAACAGCAGCAGCAGAAACTGACACTACTGAGATGAAACAGCAGCAGCAGAAACTGACACTACTGAGATGAAATAGCAGCAGCAGAAACTGACACTACTGAGATGAAACAACAGCAGCAGAAACTGACACTACTGAGATGAAACAACAGCAGCAGAAACTGACACTACTGAGATGAAACAACAGCAGCAGAAACTGACACTACTGAGATGAAACAACAGCAGCAGAAACTGACACTACTGAGATGAAACAACAACAGCAGAAACTGACACTACTGAGATGAAACAACAGCAGCAGAAACTGACACTACTGAGATGAAACAGCAGCAGCAGAAACTGACACTACTGAGATGAAACAACAGCAGCAGAAACTGACATTACTGAGATGAAACAGCAGCAGCAGAAACTGACACTACTGAGATGAAACAGCAGCAGCAGAAACTGACACTACTGAGATGAAACAACAGCAGCAGAAACTGACACTACTGAGATGAAACAGCAGCAGCAGAAACTGACACTACTGAGATGAAACAACAGCAGCAGAAACTGGCGCTCTTGAGATGAAACAACAGCAGCAGAAACTGACACTACTGAGATGAAACAACAGCAGCAGAAACTGACACTACTGAGATGAAACAACAGCAGCAGAAACTGGCGCTACTGAGATGAAACAACAGCAGCAGAAACTGACACTACTGAAATGAAACAGCAGCAGCAGAAACTGACACTACTGAGATGAAACAACAGCAGCAGAAACTGACACTACTGAGATGAAACAGCAGCAGCAGAAACTGACACTACTGAGATGAAACAACAGCAGCAGAAACTGACACTACTGAGATGAAACAACAGCAGCAGAAACTGACACTACTGAGATGAAACAACAGCAGCAGAAACTGACACTACTGAGATGAAACAACAGCAGCAGAAACTGACACTACTGAGATGAAACAGCAGCAACAGAAACTGACACTACTGAGATGAAACAACAGCAGCAGAAACTGACACTACTGAGATGAAACAACAGCAGCAGAAACTGACACTACTGAGATGAAACAGCACAGCAGAAACTGACACTACTGAGATGAAACAACAGCAGCAGAAACTGACACTACTGAGATGAAACAGCAGCAGCAGAAACTGACACTACTGAGATGAAACAACAGCAGCAGAAACTGACACTACTGAGATGAAACAGCAGCAGCAGAAACTGACACTACTGAGATGAAACAGCAGCAGCAGAAACTGACACTACTGAGATGAAACAGCAGCAGCAGAAACTGACACTACTGAGATGAAACAACAGCAGCAGAAACTGACACTACTGAGATGAAACAACAGCAGCAGAAACTGACACTACTGAGATGAAACAACAGCAGCAGAAACTGACACTACTGAGATGAAACAGCAGCAGCAGAAACTGACACTACTGAGATGAAACAGCAGCAGCAGAAACTGACACTACTGAGATGAAACAACAGCAGCAGAAACTGACACTACTGAGATGAAACAACAGCAGACAGAAACTGGCGCTCTTGAGATGAAACAACAGCAGCAGAAACTGACACTACTGAGATGAAACAACAGCAGCAGAAACTGGCACTACTGAGATGAAACAACAGCAGCAGAAACTGGCGCTCTTGAGATGAAACAACAGCAGCAGAAACTGACACTACTGAGATGAAACAACAGCAGCAGAAACTGGCGCTCTTGAGATGAAACAACAGCAGCAGAAACTGGCGCTCTTGAGATGAAACAACAGCAGCAGAAACTGACACTACTGAGATGAAACAACAGCAGCAGAAACTGACACTACTGAGATGAAACAACAGCAGCAGAAACTGGCGCTCTTGAGATGAAACAACAGCAGCAGAAACTGACACTACTGAGATGAAACAACAGCAGCAGAAACTGACACTACTGAGATGAAACAACAGCAGCAGAAACTGGCGCTCTTGAGATGAAACAACAGCAGCAGAAACTGACACTACTGAGATGAAACAGCAGCAGAAACTGGCACTACTGAGATGAAACAGCAGCAGCAGAAACTGACACTACTGAGATGAAACAACAGCAGCAGAAACTGACACTACTGAGATGAAACAACAGCAGCAGAAACTGGCACTACTGAGATGAAACAGCAGCAGCAGAAACTGACACTACTGAGATGAACAGCAGCAGCAGAAAACTGACACTACTGAGATGAAACAGCAGCAGCAGAAACTGGCACTACTGAGATGAAACAGCAGCAGCAGAAACTGACACTACTGAGATGAAACAACAGCAGCAGAAACTGACACTACTGAGATGAAACAGCAGCAGCAGAAACTGACACTACTGAGATGAAACAACAGCAGCAGAAACTGACACTACTGAGATGAAACAACAGCAGCAGAAACTGACACTACTGAGATGAAACAACAGCAGCAGAAACTGGCGCTCTTGAGATGAAACAACAGCAGCAGAAACTGACACTACTGAGATGAAACAACAGCAGCAGAAACTGACACTACTGAGATGAAACAACAGCAGCAGAAACTGACACTACTGAGATGAAACAACAGCAGCAGAAACTGACACTACTGAGATGAAACAACAGCAGCAGAAACTGACACTACTGAGATGAAACAACAGCAGCAGAAACTGACACTACTGAGATGAAACAACAGCAGCAGAAACTGGCACTACTGAGATGAAACAACAGCAGCAGAAACTGACACTACTGAGATGAAACAACAGCAGCAGAAACTGACACTACTGAGATGAAACAGCAGCAGCAGAAACTGACACTACTGAGATGAAACAGCAGCAGCAGAAACTGACACTACTGAGATGAAACAACAGCAGCAGAAACTGACACTACTGAGATGAAACAACAGCAGCAGAAACTGGCGCTCTTGAGATGAAACAACAGCAGCAGAAACTGACACTACTGAGATGAAACAACAGCAGCAGAAACTGACACTACTGAGATGAAACAACAGCAGCAGAAACTGGCACTACTGAGATGAAACAGCAGCAGCAGAAACTGACACTACTGAGATGAAACAACAGCAGAAACTGACACTACTAAGATGAAACAGCAGCAGCAGAAACTGGCGCTCTTGAGATGAAACAACAGTCCTTGAACGGGACCGGAGAGTTTTATTAGCTAAGTTACAGTCCGCTCTAGGGAGGTTCTATCATGCCGATGACTGCTCTTGATCCAAGGGTTTGGACCTGACCTCCCATTCCTCGGATTAAACCTGATTACCTCCCATTCCATCTCGAGCGCTGCTGGAGGGTATTTCGGGGATCAACGCCCCCGCGGCCAGGTCCATGACCAGGCCTCGCGGTGGATCAGGGCTTGATCAACCAGGCTGTTACTGTTGGCTGCACGCAAACCAACTTAGGAACCACAGCCTGGCTGGTCAGATACTGACTTAAGGTGCCTCTCCAGGTCGCTCTTGAAGACAGCCAGGAGTCTATTGACAATCCCCCTTATTTGTGCTGGGACTTCAACTGTTCCCAATAATTTAGGTACTTTATTGTACTTATACGTGCCGTGGAAGTTCTCTGGGTCTGCAATTTCACCTGCCTTAAAAGGGCCCTTAGTGTACAGAAATACTCCAGCCTAGAGAGAACAAGCAATTTGAAGAGAATCATCATTGGCTTGGCATCCCTAGTTCTGAAGGTTCTCCTTATCCATCTTATCATTTTCCTAGCAGATGTAGTAGATACATTGTTGTGATCTTTGAAAGTGAGATTCTCTGACATTATCATTCCCAGGTCCTTCACATTAGTTTTTCGCTCTACTGTGTGTTTATTAGTTTAACATCTTCGTTATGCACCCCATACACATCTTGTGGGCGAGCCTGTGTGCTCGAAATTTGTTTTATTATCCGATCCTATTTTTATTTCCTCGAATTTTCCATAGCGAAGTAATTGAAATTTGTCTTCGCTGAACTTCATATTGTTTTCTGAGACCCATTAAGGCTTGGTTAATATCCGCT